AATGGGTACCAACTTTGTTACAAACGAATGATACTAAAAAATATTTGGTGAAGTGTTGGAAGGGTGAATGCATGTTCATGATATAGACTTCATATACGGATGATGAAGAATCTTTCCATATAAAATATTCAAAGCTTGATCATAGTTGTGCTGAGAACTTCTAGTTAGGTTCAACTGTAACTTACTCATGGATTGCTAGTTAAGATATTAAGGAAATATTATATATGGAAAAAAATGAATATTGGGCAACTAAGATTGGATGTTATTAAAAAGTTTGGAATTAAGGTTAGTCCTAAGCAATGTAGGAGGACCATAAAATAGGATTTATATCTTATTAAGGGTACCTTTGGTGACCATTGTGCTAGTCTTGGCTCATATACATAGGAGATGAGACTATCAAATCCATGATCCATTGTGAATATGGATGTATTGGCAACGTCGAATGGAAAAAACTACTTTAGTAAGCTTTATATGTGTTTTGATGGACTTAAAATGGGTGGATGGAAGGTTGTAAAATGATGAGGTGATAAAGGAGGTTACGGTGGATGATGAAGTGATAGATGTTGCAATGAATGTTCAAATTGATGATTTGTAAGTTGAAATCAAACTAAAGTGCCTTAAATAAAATCACTACATACCATTTTTAAGCATATAAGGAAGAGTGAGATGATTATAAAACATAAAATAGGTAGACAAGCTGGTGATAAAGATGAAGAAGAAAACTCAACTAATAAACCACTAAACCTAGAATAATTTGTATTATGTAGTTGCATGATGGTGTAATAAATGGTTTTGAAAACATTGGTTCGGTTTTGGAAGTGAATTATTACATGTAATTACATGGTTGTAAACCCTAGTGTTATATATGGAACCTGGTGTTTAATTTTCTATTTTAGTGTTTGTATTTTTTTCGAGTCTTAAGTACTGAAACATTCCCATTATGGGTTCAAACTGCATTATTCGTGAACTACAACAAAGATTATAATAAATACACAAATAAAGTACAAAACACAATGAATCTTACACCAAAAGGAATCTTGTTACGGATCTTTAGGACTTTTCCATTATATATTCTTAGTTCTTAACGTACAAAAAGCCTTTTTTACAGCCAAACCAATATGACACTGACAAATAACTGCTACAACACTATCGACCATCAATTAAGTACTTCCACACACACACCCACACATTGTCCCCTTCCATTGAGCCCCATTACAAAATAACATTAATCCCTCCAAAAACTATACAAGCGAAACCCAATTACTCCCATTTCACCATACATTCAAATCTTGAAAACAATGTAACAAAAACACAAACAATGATAAACACAACCATTTGATCCTATTTCAGTTTAGTCTAAAATGTATTTACTTCTGATTTCAGATCTAGAATCTCCATCTTACGCTTCACCTAGTTCTCAGTCCTTAGTTTTTCGACCTCCTTCAGTTTAATCTAAACTTTTTGCATTAGACACGACTCTTCCTTGGTGCTAAGATTATACTTCATTTTCCTTATCATATTGTTGTAGTGTACATCCAGGTTGTGGTTAATCAAGCCATTCAAAGTAATCAAAATGCTTTCTGCTACACTATAGAACAAAAAGACAAAATTAGGGTTTTCTTGTATGAACAATATAATAAATCAATGCATCAAAAGTACTTTTTATTAACTTACTAGTCAATATGGACAGTTGAAAAACCATCGAGCAGGATTTTCGAAGCTTCATAACATTCTTTCTTTCACTCTATTACGACAAGAAAATAACAATATATTTTAGCAGTTAGGTTAACATAGATATTTAGATCATAATTCGTCATGGAGTTTCTGAAAGACCCACACTTTCATAAATTCTACATTATTACTCCAAAACATGCTACATGCATATTCACAAATAATATTTTACATTGATAACTTGTTTACAAACGACTGGATACAAACCGACTAAGTTTTAATATTTTACATAACTACCCAGGATATTGTAATTTTATACAAACATAAACCGAAATACAAAAGTACTATTACAAACTATTCTAAATCTTCCAACAGTATACTACCATACTGCTTATTTATTTTCTGCAATTGTTAAACATTGAGAGGGGTAAGCGGTGACGCTTAGTGAGTTCAATAATAGATACAATATAACGTTATGCTATATATATATATATATATATATATATATATATATATATATATATATATATATATCAATATGGCAGAAGCAAAGAGGAACAACAAAGGCATATGAGAAATCATGTGACAAACTTTTCATATCAATCAATGACTCGATTCAAAGATATACAGTCATTGAGATATAACAATTTCAATACTTGATAAACATCAATAACGCTTCGGCCCAAATGGCATTGAAGACAAACAATTTCTGATTAACATTAAGGTAGATTTCAGGTTTTCACGCCCTGTCTAACCTTCTGCCAATACCATAGAATAGAAGTCATTCTATTACGAGACATGCTCTACATGGCCAGATGCTACATACCAGTACCACCGTGAATCTAAGTCCTTTCACTGATCACATGGTCAAAGGTATAACTTTGCTATCAAAATAGCGGAAATAATAAAAACGGAAAAGCACAAAGCACATATAACACATAACATACAATTGTTCCTATATACTGAACTCACCGTGAAATAACCGGGGGGTAAAAATAGTAAATTGGGCAGCACTTCGGCTCTAAATATAACTTTTTGTGACGAAACCGGGAATTTTAGATGAAAATCGGCCTTACACGGGCAGAGTTTCGGCTTGTAAATATAATTTTATCGGGAACTTCGGAGCGTCGGGGCTTGCTTCGGGTGTCGGGAATGATACTGGGGCTCCTGGGGGTTAAAAGTGGGCAAAAGGGGTTTTAGAGTGAAAGGAAATGAGAAAATGTAACATAGTTCCGGAGACCCTCGGTCTCTATTTATAGGGGACCGAAGCTGCTGACTACGCTGAGCGTAAGTCCTCTGTACGATGGGCGTACTGCGAGGCGGACATCTACGCGGGGCGTAGCCTTCGTACGCGGGGCTTATATGCGAGGCGTGTCCTCTGATCGGAACCCGGGTCTCGGACGTGGCAATCTTACCCGATACGTGGCATCCGAGCGAATACCGGCGACGTGGCTGATCCGAGGCCCTGCAAGTGCGAAGTACGCTGGGCGTACCCTTCGGATAAGGCTTCGAATTTTCATTTATTTTTATTAAAAACTTCGAAAATTGATATCTTTTGCGTACGAGCTCCGTTTTTGACGTTTTTTTTATATCCACGCGTAGGTAAGATTATGCTCTACAATTTTCGTTTAGACTTCGTCGGATAATTTTGACTTTATTTTTAATATTATTATTTTTAACAGACCGGGACAGGAAAATCCGTTAAAAATTCATAACTTCTTTATCCGACGTCCGTTTTCGTCTGTCTTTTTACCGTTGTACTACTATTGACGAGACCTTCGATTCTCGTTTAGGTTGTGTCGGCTAAAAATCACTCGATCTAAAATTCAAGTTTTTAGCTGTCTACTGCTAAGCTGAAACTTAGAAAAAATCATAACTTCCTCATACGAAGTCAGATTTTGACGTTATTTTTATCAAAATTCTCGGTTTAACAAATACTACGACTTTTATTTAGATCACCAAGGCTAAAAAGTAGTTTATCAAAAACTCACTTTTTACGTCATTCGGTGCCGTGCCGGTTTTGTCGCGGATCTTCGATTGGTCATAACTTCTTCGTTATAACTCGGATTTCGATGAGGTTTTCGCCTAAATGTTTCTAACGAGATTCTTTACAACTTTCAATAATAAAATTTTACTTATTTCAAATTTTATATTTTCGTTAAATTTCGATATTTGTCTTTTAATTGGAATCTCATAAGACTTCCAATATTTTCCGATTGATTCTAAACATAGTTTTACTTCATTTCTAGTAAAAAATATCTGTTAGAACTCAATACTCATAATTATATAATATTTCATAATATTATTCACTTTTAAAATTACATAACACGATAACTGAACGTGTATGTTACAATTTCGACTAGAGAAAGAAGTCGTTTTGGTGGTTTAATTTAGGTTCTTCGATTTCAGGGCCTGAGGTAAAATGGAATGAAGAATATGTTACGTATTTACCAAGGGTTTGTTAGGTGGGGTCGGGAGAGTCTTCTTTAATAAGCTAAGCCGAAATAGCACTTAGGTGGATAAGAGTAAGCTACTTAATTAGGTCCACCTAAGCACTACGGCCACTAAATCGAAGACAAATATAATCGTTGTCTCATTTAATAGATCATATATCATTTTAAGGATATAATACTAAAAAATAAGTTTGATGAACAAATAAGCACAAATCCAATAGTTTTTGACGCTACACTAACATTAACCCTATATATTTCTTTATATAAAATTACAATATAATTTTAGTAATATATTAAAAGATGATAGGGTTGATACACAATAAGTTAATTAAACGATTATATTTGTTAAAAAAGTATTTTGGGTTAGTGACTTGATATCACCGTAACGTATTTTGGGGTTAATAATAGGAACAATGACACAATAGCCCAACAAGGTATTTTGAATTTGCCCATTGAGCCCAAAACTTTTTTTTGTGCTTTATGGGAGCATAAAGTAGATGTTGACTTGATTTTTTTGGTTACTGCTACATGTTATAACAAGTTTTATAAGCCATATCAACTTTGTTGTATTTTTTTTATTCAAAACAATTAAACTCACAAAAACACTAATACTTTCTTTCCCCTTCAACCTACTGGTATGATAACACATATTTTATGGCCTCTGATTAATTTTTATGGTAGGGATGTAATCATCTCCATTGTTGGTCTAAAAACTAAAAACTCAAAATCAAGAAGGGAATATAACCAATTTTTACGTTTAGAATAATAAATTTGATGATTACAAAATAAAAGGAATTAAAATTCAATAATGTATTTTATGTGCTATATATGAAATAGGAAACATGGGCAAGAAGAACACCATTGGACTCGTCAACAATGCTCAAGATAGCAGCCGAAGTAGCCAGAGGGCTAGCTTTCATTCATACGACCGACACCTCCGTTAAACTCATCCACGTCAACATCAAATCCACAAACATCCTCCTCGACAAATCCGACAACGCCTGTGTCTCTGATTGCGGCCTCTCCTCCTTCACCCCTCCAACTGCCGCTCCACGATCCATCGACTACCGTGCACCTAAACTGTCGGCAACAACCGTAGGCCCACCCAGAAATTTGACGTCTACTCTTTCGGGGTCCTGTTAGTGGAGCTTCTCTCTAGAAAATGCCCATCCATAGTGGACAATAGTGGGAATCTGGACATGCCACGGTCAGTCGGTAGCGAGAGAAGAATGGACGACATAGGTGTTTGATTTGTAGCTGATGAGATACAAGGATATTGAAGAAGAGATAGTGCAGCCAATGCACATTGCTTGATTGTGTATCTCACGTGCACTGGATTAACACCTTTCCATGGAAAATGTTGTCAACATGATTGTTTTAAATAAAAAACATACAACAAAGTTGATATGACTTATAAAACCTGTTATAAAAGGTAGCAATGACAAAAAAACAGATGAACATCTAAGTTGTCAATGGACAAATTCGAAATATACTTTGTTGGGTTAATGTGTTATTTTACTTTAATAAAACATTTCATTCTATATAATCATATGATTAGTGTGATATCTTAATTAAACGACTATACTTGTTAAATTTTGAACAATTATAGACGTATCAAATATTTTATTTGATTATTAAAATAATATTCGAATAAAAAGCGTATTAAAATATCTGTTGGTCCACAACTTGGATAAAGTTAAACACATTTAATTTAATTGTTTTTATTATTGGTTCTAACTTTCATATTTGTTTTTGTTTTATCATTTATTTCATATTTCATTATTATATCATCACATCATTCTTGTTTTTATACATACCGATTGTGATTACTATATTTTTTTAGAAAGTTGGATGTAGGGTCATTAAAAATGGTTTATTTGTATTAACGTTACATTTTGTCTTTGAACAATATGTTACTGCAGTTTTACTTAATAATCTTTTTTAACATAAAACCGACTCGACTAACTTTGCCACGAAATAATACTGTTTTCATTATTTAAATGAACAGAAAATCAAAAGTGATACAAGCTAAGATTCATAAAATATATAACGGACGCTTAAACTAATGGGATTTAACATTATAAAAAAGTACAAATAATATTGTTTATATATATATACTTAGCATATTCATAAGTGTAAAATTTAATAAGTACCAATTATGACATATTAAAACAGAGAATAAAGCTTAAAATAGAAAGTAACAGTAACTTAATTTTCTATTTTAACATAATATCCCAACTTATTGTTTGATATTTTTTTATATATCCGATTCAGTTACTGTTTGATATCATATTTAAAATCTTCTGACTCGGTTTTGACATCTCTGATATCCCTATTATTCAGTCAGATTCACTTATTTAGGGTTGTATCTCATTGATTCAAATAAATCTGCTCAATCTGTAACTATTGACTACTTCTTAAACTTATAACTTTTAAAAGAAATTAAATTGCTTATTACCTTTTATGCCTACAAATATTCATATCCACTGACATTATTACAAATGTCACCATTCCATATTTTTTTTAACTATCTCATTAAGAATATATTAGGAATATATCAAATCAAATTAAATTTAATGGTAAAATGATGACACGTGTCATAATGTTAGTGGATAAAAATACTTGTAGACATAAAAAATAAGAGGCAATTTAATTTATCAATTTTTAATTATTTTACCATTAGAACAAAGAACTAATATTTAGCTTATAAATTTCATTTGCTTGGAGTGACTTCTACTACAACTATGGTCAAAGCTTTAACTTAACTATGGTTCCATAAAAACTCCACTTTGGGACTTCCAACCCTCTCTCTCTCTCTCTCTCTCTCTCTCTCTCTCTCAAGAACAGATCACTGTGAAGCTTCCTCTCTTTCATCTCTTTCGGTGGATCCTACAGTTTCATCTTGGTTAGCGTCTTTGCTTGCTAGATACACTCTATGGACAGCTTGATTCTGTGTACAAATCGATTGTTTTAAGCTTGTTAAAGTTTAGGTTCTGTGTGTTATTTTTTGTTGGCAATTGTTTGATTCCGCATTTTATTTGAAGCGCCGCTTTTCGTTGATGATTTCCGAAGGGAAATTTGTTCGTTTGTTAGCGTAATTATCGCTCTGAATGTATTTCTATGAACTTTATTTTCTAGACATTGGCATTGTTCTTCATACGGATATTAACATGATTTTGTTTTCTGGGGTTTTGCAGTCATCGTTGATGTGTTTACGCGTTTGTAGTTAGCTTTTCTCTTTAAGTTGTTTTAATTGAGTACTTCGTTTGGTAATCTGAATAATTTTTAGTTCGATGCAATAAAACTTGCGATTTCCTGATTTGAAGTACCTTTTTAACTTCCTTTCCTTTGCGACTGCTATAAAATTGAGTTCATCAGGTCTTTTTGCATTTCCTGCAACATGAGTAATCAATTGTATTACGTAACATTATAGGGAAAGAGTACTTCGTCAGTTTTGGCAATAATTGAACTGTTTCTCTTTCAGGAAATTTGAAAGTTTAATTACCTGCAATTTGCACCTGAGTATTTTGAGAGATGTTAGGTAGGAAATGGTTAGGAAAGAATGGAAGATTGGATTAAATTGTGGAACTCTTGTAAGATCCTTTATTTCCAATAAAATTACATATGATTTGTTTCAATATAGATCCTAGAGGATGTTAAGATTGATCCAAACTTGAAACCTCAACCTAGTTTGAAAGCCAACTAACCACTTGTCCATAACTTAACAAAAAACATATGTTCATTATCCCTTTGTTTTTATACAGAAATGGAACTACTTTCTGTGTGCATTTTTATTTAATTAAAGAGTTCATAGTTGTATCCAATAGTGAAGTGAATCTTTTAGAAGAAAGAATTTGTAGATAATCACTCATCATAAATGATAGATTCTTCCATTATTACTACTCACTTCACAAGTTTCTCATTTTAGTGGCTAATTTATAATTACGCGAATCATAGCAAAGAAACAAAAGATGCAAATTTTTTATATTTTGGATTCATTCATAAATCTTCAAATTCATCGTGACACGTGGTTGATTTCAGGTGAACTTTGTATTCTAGAAGCATCATAATATCCAACGAATCTTCTGATGAAAAATGCAACTTGAATCTAAGTTGGTATAAAAACTGCAGTTAAGAACATGGGCTTACTCTGCAGTAGACACAAACATGGTAATCAAGCTAACACTGAAGAAAATGTGCAGGTAGTGAATTTGCCCTTTCAACTGTAATAACTGTTGGAGTCTGGAGCCACCCTGTCTCCATAAGGGCACTTTTGGAATTTGGAGAAACAATCTTGGACTCCACATATATGTTCAATTTGACAAAATTAATGTTATGGTTTTCACTTTTCAGGCAGCAGAAATAGAAAGGCGTATCGAGCAAGAAACAAAGGCAGAGAAACATATTCAGAAGCTTCTATTACTTGGTATAAATATAACTATAAATATAATAAACAAATAAGTGAAAGTACTACATTGCTATTTCTTACATTTAATCCTATAATTAAATGTTTTTGGTTTAAATCATATGAATTGGAATTGATTTTGTTTAAGGTGCGGGAGAATCAGGGAAGTCTACTATTTTCAAACAGGTAGCATATCATTATGCAAATCTATTTAAAAATATAATCTTTATCTATAATTTTATATTTTAAAGGGTGGAGAAACTTTTTTTTTGCAGATAAAACTACTGTTTCAAACTGGCTTTGATGAGAGAGAGCTTCAGAGCTACACCTCAGTCATCCATGCAAATGTCTATCAGACAATAAAAGTATGCAATACTTGAAAGGGTGTGTTTAGGTTTTATATTCCTTTGTTTTGGCAAATTGTAAACAGAAACAGAAACACGTGTGTTAAAATTTAAAAATTAAAAATTGCCTGAATCTTTGTGATGTTGAGATTTGAGAATGCCTTTGGTTGTTGTGTTGATGTGAATTTTGACATGTGTTAAATAGATTTTACACGATGGGGCAAAAGAGTTGGCTCTAAGTGAAGGAGGTGCTTCAAAGTATGGCTTATCTGTTGACAATAAGGTACTTTGAAAAATCCCCAATTATATATAATTCACTAGATTTTCGATAATATAATAGGAAATTGGAGAATTAAACTTTTGTGTAATAGGAAATTGGAGAGAAACTATCGGAAATTGGAGGGAGATTGGATTATCCACGTCTTACTGAAGAACTCGTTGAGGAGATTTTAAAGATATGGAAAGATCCAGCTATACAGGTATCTCTGAAACATTTAATACAGATAAATAATTGAAATGAAATGTAATTACTCATTCCATTCAATTCCAACAAAACAAACCCTAATTGTTACAATTTGTGCATTGTAGGAAACATATGCTCGTGGGAATGAACTTCAAGTTCCAGATTGTGCTGATTATTTCATGGAAAATTTGCAGAGATTATCAGATCCAAATTATATTCCTACCAAGGTATCTAACAAATCACATTATACAATTTTCACTGCTATAATTAAAGTTAATTTATTTGTTAACGAGTTTATTTATGAGCAGGAGGATGTTCTCCATGCGCGTGTTCGTACAACCGGTGTTGTAGAAATCCAGTTCAGGTAAAAGACCAAAATACCCCCATTATGTGATATTGTAAATGTAAATCCATTATTAATGTGATAAAAAAAAATGGACGAATGTAGCCCTGTTGGGGAGAACAAAAAAAGCGGAGAAGTATATAGACTTTTTGATGTTGGAGGGCAGAGAAACGAGCGAAGGAAGTGGATTCATTTATTTGAAGGTGTTACAGCTGTCATATTTTGCGCTGCTATTAGCGAGTAAGATTATTATTATCTGACTTTGTTATTTTTCAACTACAAGGGTATATACGTCTTTTTGTATTACATTTTTTTTTGACGGTTTTGTAGGTATGATCAAACGTTGTTTGAAGATGAAAACAGGAATCGGATGATGGAGACGAAAGAACTCTTTGAATGGGTCCTCAAACAAAAATGTTTCGAGGTAAAAAAAATATCAATATATGTTTTTCACTTTTGAATTTTAATTCGTCTTTTTATTAGTATAACTTAAGGCAATATTAATTAATAATGTATATGCAGAAAACGTCTTTCATGCTGTTTCTAAACAAGTTTGACATTTTTGAGAAAAAGGTTTCAAAAGTAAGTGGTACTTAAATATTAATAGTTTTTATTAAAAAAACTAAAAAAGAAATTACATTTTTGGTCTAAGATTGTAGAGTTGATTTGTTAGGTGCCCCTGAACGTATGTGATTGGTTCAAAGATTATCAGCCGGTTTCAACAGGAAAGCAACAAGTTGAACATGCATATGAGTAAGCATAGCATTTATTTCAAAGATTCTACTTTCATTTTTCTCTAAAGTACAAAAAATCCACTTAATCCAAATACAAATAATTTTTTTTTTTTTTTGTAGGTTTGTGAAGAAGAAATTTGAAGAGTTGTACTATCAGAACGTGACATGTGATCACCAGGATCGTGTGTTCAAGATCTACAGAACCACTGCTCTTGACCAGAAACTTGTGAAGAAAACATTCAAATTGGTAGATGAAACCCTAAGAAGGAGAAACCTCTTTGAAGCAGGCTTATTGTGACACATCATCATTTTCAAAGGCTAAAAATGTCAATATTTCCATTTCATTTCACCAAAATTCTTTTTGACAATTAATCGGTATTATTATTATTATTATTATCATTGGTATTTCACAGGTTAAAGAAATATGGTTTCATTGGTTCGTTTTAGACCCAACCCCTTTTTTCATGTATTACCTGGGATATTTTCACATATATTTCTCCATGTATGTAGCTTTCTTGGTAATATATAATATAAAATTGTCGGATTTTATAATTATATATACATCTCCTTTCATATTTTAACTTCCTTTTAGGGTCTTCACATTTTGGCTATCTTATGTTCCTTTTAGTGTTGGTGTAGACATGTATGTATTCTTTTTATTGCTATAAACCCAGTAAGTGCTGATAATGCAACAACTTGTCACACATGGATAGAAGAGTGAAAAGGAGTTTATAACAATTTATTAGAAATTGGATATAAACGACAAGTTTGATCATTTTATAATGTCAACTTTTGAGTTAGAGTCTGATAATGAGGTCCGTTCTATGCATAGAATCTCATACTTGGTAGTTTTGCAAATCATGTAAAAATTTGTGTTCTTTATTTTGATTGTGAACTCGTATGTTTTTTATTTTGATCGTGAACTTGTATTATGATCTATATGTGGTGTTGTCTAATCTTTCTCCATTGATAGTTAATAATGTCTTGTCTTTCTTCTCCACCTTATGCACACTAATACAGTATAGGATTTTCAATCATATACCCTCAAACGGTTAATCTTGAAGATAAAATTCAGTTCCACCCTCTAATTTATGGGATTATTCTCAGTTTTATTGTTGTTTTGTGGCATTGTGTGTGTAACGAGATCCAATTTCAGTATGTTTGATTTTGTATGTGCAATTTTTGCTCAGGACTATGTTTTGTTATGTTAAATCCCAAGTCGAAGTATCATGTCCATAAAATTCAGTTCCACATCTTTTTTTTTAAATACTTAATAGCTTAAAATATTGTTTTGACCAAGCCTTACAAAGGGACTTGAGAGCATCGACTTTACAAGTTACAAAATCTTATATATATAGTTTTTGAAACAATACAAAATCTTATATTTAATGAATCATTTTTAAGTATTATATAAAAAGTTAATTTTTCATGATAAGATACATAAGGCAAATCGAGGCAAATCGATGATGAAGAAATCATTTTGTTGTGAGGCTACTTCAGTCGTCTATCTGTAGTATAATCCGCATCGTCTTTATTCTAGTATGAACGAATCTCGTACTTGACAGTTCTGCAAATCATATATATATATATATATATATATATATATATATATATATATATATATATATATATATATATATATATATATATATACACAAAAGCGAATCTTACCTACAATGTTTAAAATAGTAATCAAATGAAACTTTCTAAAATATCATTATGATTATATATTTATCTTTTTGCTATTTGATGGAGAGACTGATTCAAGTTGAGAGTGGGTCCAAAGATATTTTGGTTTGAGACAAAGAAAATTCTTTCCCTACATTAAAATAAATTGCAAAAATCATTTTGTGCATGACTAATAAACTATAGAGTGAAAAATCATAAGCCAAATGGTAAGGTAACTTAACTTAAATAAGTTTTTGTTCTTTTTACCTTGACCATAGTTGATATTTTTTTTTAGTTTACTGGGGCTTATATTGATTTTATCCTCTCTAATAAATGAAAGTTTTTTTTGCCATTTGTCAAATTTTCAAGAGTTTTGACACATGTAATTTTGTGGGAGTTTTAGAATTATAATTTTCCACTTGTCATTTTTTGAGAATTTCCATTTTTTTAAAATAAAATTCCATAAATTTCTAATGAGTTTTATAAGGAAAGATAATCATTCTATTAATTTGATAATAAAGTCTCATAAATGTTTTAAAGAATATTTGATTTCTTTTATAAATGTTTCAAATGATTACATTATGTTATGTAAAAGTGTTATTTTATAAAATATTTAATATTTAAATATTGATATTAAATTTTTATTTTTAATAAACTTGTGTAGTACACGAGTTTCACACCTAGTAATTTTGTCATTTGTCAAATTCTCAAGAGTTTTGCCACATGTAATTTTGTGGGAGTTTTAGAATTATAATTTTCCACTTGTCATTTTTTGAGAATTTCCATTTTTTTAAAATAAATTTCTAATGAGTTTTATAAGAAAAGATAATCATTCTATTAATTTGATAATAAAGTCTCATAAATGTTTTAAAGAATATTTGATTTCTTTTATAAATGTTTCAAATGATTACATTATGTTACGTAAAAGTGTTATTTTATAAAATATTTAATATTTAAATATTGATATTAAATTTTTATTTTTAATAAACTTGTGTAGTACACGGGTTTCATACCTAGTATACTAATATACATACAACATATTTTATGAGAACCTCAAAATTTTAGGACCCGGACTAGTTTGGTAAGAG